GATATAAATTTATATGCATTCTGAGTTATAATATGGACGAAATGTAATGCTGTTAAGTGAAGCTAGCGCCAGAGTTTCGCTATGGTAAACAAATACAGTGAATTTTAAAGAGTGGAATTTATTCTATTGTGGTTTATACGCTATCGAGAAGTATATTTAATTCAATCGAATAAGTTTAAATGAAATGCAAGAAAAAACGCGTATAATTTAATATTCCGTACAAGGAAGTCATGTGGTGTACACATCAGATTTTTTTAATATTATATCCATGACGCGATGAAATTAATATTTGGATTGAATAAATATTTCTCTACATTTTAGCTATACTATTTTTTTAATTTACTTTTTTAATTTTTTAGTGTTTATATATTTGTTTTTATAATTACTTATTGAATTTCAAAAACTCTCCCGTTACATCTGCTTGCTATAAGAAGTTATTGCCATTACATTTCCATTTTTTCAGTGGATAGTATAACACTACGCGTAAGACTGTCAATTGGAAATTCTAAAGATATGATGTTTTTAAATATTTTTAGTCCTCTTGAAACGTGTATGTATCTGTAAATGAAAAAAAGGGCCTGTTGTTTCGTAATATAAAATTTGTAAACCTTCGTAATATATATATGTTTTGTTCCTTAAAATTATTTTCTGTATCTTAGAAACATTTACAACTGGAAATAAGTATATATGATCAGTATATCAGGAAATAATATCTAAAATTAAATACGCCATCCACCGCTAATTCTAAATCATAATTACGTCGAAGACAGTTTGAAGAACACAAAGAGATCAGTACTCAATACTCAGTACAATAAACAAAAGAAGAGAGAAGACTCAGTACAATAAACAAAAACAAAATTTTTGTTAACAATTCAATTTAATTTAGATTAGTTTCCTCTGCAATTTAAATCCGCATTCAAAGTGTCAAATATCACGTTCTAAATAGCGTAATTAAATAGCTCTGGAGTGTACACCACATGACTTCCTTGTACAGAATATTAAATTATACGCAATTATTCTGCATTTCATTTAAGCATATTGAATTAAAGGCTAAGTTTAAAGGATTTTGACATTAGCTTTCACTGTTATTATTCTATCCGGTTTTCGCTTTCATTTTGTATTTTCTATGGACACTTTTGTTTTATGCTGATAATCAGTGTTAAGGATTTTCCATCACACCGCAATAAATAAAATGAACTTTTTGCTCTTTAGGGTCGGTTAATTGTACCTAATAGAACTCCATCGTACCTTGAATAAATGTTCTCTGGGCTTAGCATTGGTTCTCTAAGTATTATAAGAGTAACAAAACTGAAAAGGTAATAACTAGTTAAAAGTTAATAAAAGAATGAAATTGGAAAAATTGCACAAAATACGCAAGCTCTTCGTTCAACAGAAAATATTTTCTAATGTGTAATTTGAAAACATTTCATTAACATATTACAAATAACAAGACAGAAAATTAATTTTATAATCAGTAACATTCTCTATCATTCGTTATATATTTCTCTATGATGATCGTCTACATGAACCTTTATCATTTAAATCTCTAATTGAAAATAAGGTACAACAAATTTTGTTCCGAGTAATATCCGTTAAAACTATACTCTCCCAAAAACATTTTTCTTTTTATATCTTTCTATTACAAATATCAGCATAAAGCAATTTAGACATTAGAAATTTTTATTTTTAACAGTTTGGCAAAAGAAAATATATTGTTACGGATTTGTATTTAGTTGGCTATTTTTAGTAGAATTGCAATTTAAAATTGTTTTATTCCCCGTGTAATGCAGTGCTTGACGAGTTTTAAGAGAAAGCTACACCGAAAAGGTAAAAATACAGGAGCAGACGCATTTAATAAATAGATATCTCGTAATTTATGTTTAATATGAAATAATGCAATTATGTGTGTTAGCTGTAACTGTAATTCTACTCTTTCGTTTTCCAGAAACCTCGAAAAATTACGAGAAGCTTCTCGTGACTGATTAAAAAGCTTATAAATGTCGGAGGAAAACATCTTAGTTCAGTTGTTTATTAGTTTTTTTATATAACTGTTGTTGTTTACTGTAGCGAATTCGCGGTAAGATCGGATTAGCTTCCTCTTCTTGGTTTGTTTTTTATCCTGATGTTTAGGACTGTATATACAAGTTTCTTTATCGTGAGATTTTATATTGCCATTACTTACAGAATACTCACTTGCAGTATTTTTTAATGAATAGAATCATAAATATAATAAACTCTCACTCACAGTTTGGTCTTGTTATGATGCTATTCAATTCGGCAATTGCAATGTATTTTATGAATTTTAACAGAGAATACTAAAAGAAAAGCTAAAACTTAATTCTTTTCCAGGCAAAATAATTTATAGTTCAAAGTGCACAGCACCTTTGCGGTAAATATTTGACTTTCTAAACGACTGGATCTCTCATGCATACTTATGCCATATTTTAAATCTTTATATACTTTTCACAGCTACTTAACTGTTTTAGAGTAGAGTTCAATACGTAAGGTGTTTTATACTGTAAAACTGTAGGAATTTGGAATTTTGGGGGAATTAGCCGAAAAAGGTGAGGAAAGTGTGCAAATTACAAACATTCAAGAAACTTACGAAATCCTACAAGACAAGACACTGATGCATTAATCAACTGTAATGCATCGAAGTTATTAATAAATAATTTTAATTACTTAAATTCACAACAGAATTATAAAGAACGAAGGGTTTGAAGACTATTCTTGCTTTCCAAATTTTAAAATTAAAGAGATTTAAAAGTACAAAATGGGAAAATGAATAGAAGACAAACATTTTTAAATAATTCAAAATAATAAATGACTTAAAGGGAAAAAAAATCTAAAAGCTTTCACATTCTATATTACGCCCAAAGGAGCGTTTTTTAACGTTTTATGTGTTGCATTTATTTATTAAATACATATTCTTTGCACTCAAACCATAAAATTCAATTCACCAGCAATATCACAAAATATTTAAAAGAGCATATCTTTAGAGTTTCCGATGCACAGTCTCGCGCGCTGCTGATAATTTTTTTTTCCGTACAGTGTTACCATTGCTTCCTTTGAAATCTTTGAGTTTCTTAATCCAAAATACATAAATGCTTTGCAAAATGTGAAATAGATAATAAAACAAATTCTAAATTCCAAATGTGGGCTTCCAGATGCGCATATTCGTGTGGAGACGTACGTTATTCAAAATTAGATGGCGCTAGGTACCGTCGTTTTATAACAATGCTTAAAACATGTATATACATTCATGCAGATTCTTCATTATTCCATTTCTTTAAATAGAATACTGGCCTCTAAATTTGGTGGCAACAATTTAAAAAGTGATTTGCTGTTTATAGTGAATCCACGCAAAATGCCAAAACGAAATTAATAGCCCTTCTGGGCAAATTGCTCTTTTGGGCTAATAATAGTATGGAACACAAAATATAATTATAAAAATAAATTATTATAATTTATCAAATAAGGATTTCATTATAATAAATTCAATTAAGAATTAAGTAATAATAATCATGTAATTAAAGACTTGTTTACTATTGATTGGTTAAATAATTGTGTTTGAATCTGCAGCCTATGATTTATGATGTGGTCCCTGCCGTGTAAATTGTTCATGTGAATCGAAAAGAAAACGCATCCCATTGTAAGGAATATGCATAACCATTTATCTAAGTCATGTTTAAAGAAGATCAGTGGAATTTCAAATTATCGTTTTTAAGAAGAAAACAGTTATGAGTTCTGCGCAATAAAACACAAATATTTACTTCACAACATAATTACTACTGCTTTAATAATAGTAAAAAACATTAAAAAGCCCTACAGAAATGTTCTTTGTTTCTCGCAGACGATGTTATAAATTATATTTGCAGAAAATCATTTTTTTAGTCCAAAGGGATTTGAATCCCGAAGGACTATGAGTTTCGTTTTGGCATTTTGCGTCGGACTCATAAATGTCGGTTCACTTTTCAAACTGTTGCCACAAAAATGTTAGAGTCCTGCATTATATTTGAAGAAATTAAATAATGAAAAATCTGCATAAATGTATGTATATTTCTCGTATTGTGATAAAACAACGGTACATAGAGTCATCGAATTTTGAATAACGTAATCCTCCAACGAATATGAGCATGTGGAAGACCAAATTTGAAATTTGAAATTTGTTTTATGGTCGATTTCCTATTTTTTAAAACTTTGACGAATTTTTGATTAACAAACTCAAGGATTACAAAGCGAGCAATGGCAACGTTGTGCAGAAAAAAACATTTTTATCTCCAGCGCGTGAGTCTCTGTATCGGAAATTCTAAAGATATGCTCGTTTTAAAACTATTTTGCGATATTGCTGTTGCACTGGATCTTATGGTTTAAGTGCGAGGAACATGATATTTAATAAAGAAAAGTAACATACAAAATGTTAAAAAACGCCCCTTTGGACGTAATTTAAAATCTGAAACATTTCAGATTTTTTTTTTTTTTTATAATATTTAGGTAATGAAAGGTAATAAAAATGCTGATTGGTCGCATGAATTCTAACGGTGTGTTGGGAGCAAACGCAGGTGTCCATTTATTGCTCCATTTTATCAACCGATGTTAACCATTTCATTATTCTGCTAATTAGTCCATCTAGATACGGAATTCATCGCGTGATTTTGAAATTGATTAGTTGTTGAAAGCAAATGAGAAAATCTGAAGCCATCTCTCAGGCTAAAAATGAATTGATGAATTACCGGCACGCGAGGTATAAAGATTCTGCTTTAATGGAGTACTCATTATCGTTATTCTAATTTAAAATCGAATAGCGAAGGTAATAAATTAATTTTGGAAATACACCATTTTGTAAAGCACTCTCACATGGTTGAGCCAGCCAAAAACGTTCGCAGATTTTGTAAATAATTTCGAGATTCATGTTTTATGCTGCAAAATTAACATGAAAAGCTTGTATGAAAGCCATTTGCATAAGAAACTAATACTGAACTTTTCCAATTACATTTCAGTTCGGAGGGAAAAGAACATATCCTCACAGCTGACAGTCACCGAGCTATGATGACTTGGGCATTAGCTCTTCAGGTATGTTTGTTATTCTTTTGGCGTTTTAGATTTTCTTAATTAAATGAATGCATTAAGCTTTTACACAAAGGAGAATGTTTCACGAACATTAGATGTGTCTGTAATATGACAAAGTATATTATTTCTCAATTAAGAATGCACAAATCTTTCCTAAATTTTGAATTCATTTGGCATTTACTGCTTTCGTATGTATGCACGTATAATAACTGCCAAATGCATGTACACTGTGAAAAAACAAAATGGTACAATTCTGTATCTCCCGTTCTACTGGGCCGATTAACAAAATTCAAATTGCGTTCTTCATGTCTCGAAAGAACGACTTAGGACATATATTAGATTTATGTATAGCATATTTTTAACACAGGTATTTTGACACAAATCGGACTTTTTCTGAAATTACATGTCAATTTTTTTCCATATTTCCATTCTATGATTCAAATGATGCCTATATATTTTTTTTTTAATTTACTAAAAATTTTTAAAAAAATATCTTGGCGCATTTGTTTTCAGTTTGCGCCAAGTATAATTCATTTGGCGAACTTCTTAATATATGGCAACCTATTTTCCTTTCCCTTTTTACATTGTGCTTGAGAGGGAAAAAAATCACAATTTTTCTACTTTCAAATAAATTTAACATTGTGCCTGAACCACATTTGGCGTTGTTATCGTTTTGAACAAATATGCCAAATTTCAAAACGCGCCAATATATAAATTTACCTATAACTTCGGAAATTTTGAAAAAAATTCTAAATTTTTGCAGGGATGCTTAGAAACATCTACTTTAAGAAGATGGTAAAAATGTTATAGATTTCAAAACATTTTTCAAAAAAATTACAAAAAAGTTATTTAAAAATTGAAAATTTTAAAATCATAAAAAATGGGCGAATTTTATTTGGAATGTACCTAAATTTTGAAATGTGAAAGGAAGAATAAAAAAACTTTAATAAAAAAAGAGAGGTTTTTTTTTTTTTTTTTTTTTTTTTTTTTTTCTTCACTAATGGCAGATTGTGAAATGCAATTATCATGGAGGAGTTAAAATTTTGATAGCTAATTTTTTAAAAACTACTCGGGCGATTTTTGCAAAACTTGGCAGTTTGGCATAATTTGAGTCATAGAATTGAAACATGGGAAAAAAATTGGCATGTCAGTTCAGAAAAGGCCCGATTTTGTTACATACTACCTATAGTAGAACAATGTTATATATAAATCTAATACATTTTCCAAGTCGCGCTTTCGAGACATGAAAAAGGCATGTTGAATTTCGTCAATATATAGAACTGTCCCCCCCACCTTTTTTTTTTTTTTTCCCGCAGCGTACATAACAGATATATCTAAGGGATGAACTTCTCTTTATAGTTCTTTAGACAAATTTTCTATTGCATTTTATGGTGATATAAAAGTAATATATTTCAGTGGCAAATCTAGGCTGCTTGTTTGAAGGATTAATCTCAATATATAGCAGATGTCTTTAAGCTCTGATACTTTTTATTAGACTATTACTAGTGATTTTCTACTCCGAAATGAATAAAATTTCCGAAATGAATAAAAGTAGAAATCAGAGTTTAGAGCTTTTCACTTTTTCTTCCATATTTGCCTTTTCTTTCTGCAGAAAATGATCCAGTTTCATTGCGTTTCCTCAGAATTCGAGAAACGCTTGAATTTCCAACGCCAGCCGCACAAGCAATAATCGTTACAACTATGTCATAATCTCTCTTGCTAGGCTCCAATTTTTTCTCACTCAAATCAACGAATTCAAAACGTACTTAAATATATGCAAAAGTAACTTCCTGTTCTCACAGAAACAAGCTTAAATTTGGTACAATAATCCTAAATTACAGTCTAAACCAGTTTTAAGTTGACCAGATGTCATCCAGATGATATTAAGACTGAGACTGAGATATGAGACTATTAAGACTGAGATATGAGAATCATGCCGGCGACAGCTGGTAACCGACTTAAAATTTTGTGAAAAATTGCTTTGTCCCAAACAATGTGCGCACTATAGTATGTTAGTATTTGCCAAGCGCTGTGTAAAGTAGAGTTAAATTTTTTTCATAAATGCACACATTTATGCCTGTACATTTATAGTAATAATGTTGACAAATTATGCAGCTAATCAGTCATCTCTTCAGCTGAATTGCGATAAAAATTTCAACAAAACAACAGTGAACGGTAGAAGTTCCTTATCTTTGCCGAATATAGAAGCAGTTGCATAATGTAAGTTTCGCTTCGAATAGAAGTCTAATTTAAGAATTTGCTATTAGAAAGCATGGGAGGAAGATTTCAAATATAACTAACTAGCAGCTTCGCAGCCAGCCATCGTCTGGCTTTTAAATGTACCGGAAAAATGGCTGAAGAGAAAACCAAACATTAAATTTAAAAACTGCTCAGAATTTTACTCTGTAGAACAACTTCATTAAAAAAAGTTATTACGTATAACAAAATTACAATGAAATAAGCAATATCCCTTAATACAAATATTAATTATCCTAATAAATAAATTAACCAACTTCCCTTTGCAAAATCTTAAGAACTCAAATGGTATAAAGGAGGTTAAAAATTTTGTTTCCTAAAAAAATCACTCAAAACTTTTCAATATCTTAAAGACAGTGAATTGAGTAATAAATAACATAAAAGAATACAAAAAACAAAAAATTCTGAAAAGCAAAGTATAATTAATGATATTTTGTCTTATGAGAAAAAAATTACAATAAAATAAGCTATATCCCTTAATACAAATATTAATTATCCTAATAAAAAATTAACCAACTTTCCGTTGAAGAAAAAAATCATGCAAAACTTTTCAATAACTTACAAATAGTGAAATGAGCAAAAAATAACATGAAAGAAACTCAAAAAACAAAAACTTCGCAGAATTTTACTCTGCAGAACAACTTTATCAAAAGAAAATCAATAAAAAATGTATTATATATATAAACAAATGACAATGAAATATGCCAATCTCTTAAAAACAGTGACATAAGAAATACGATGAAAAATTGTTGCTAAACCCATATTTCTATAAGAATGAAACTACAGTACACTCCCGATTATCCACAGATTGGGTGGCGCAGCCGCCGCGGAAAACAAAAATCGCGGATAATCCGAAAAAAAGCTAAAAACGGGTATAGCAAAAGAGAAAACAGTCATTCCAACTTTGAAAAATCGTTTTATGTACAATAAAACGTAAACAAACAGCAGGAAATGTTTGACTAATGCTTAATATTTTAGTATATCACTCAAAACTAACCTAAAATGCATTTTGTTAATGAAAACAGGAAAGTGCTTTGTCTTACGAGAAGCGTCAAGGATACACAGAAAAATTAATACATATGTACTGTTCAATACTGTAATGTATTATGCAATTGCAATAGCATAACTGTAAAACTACACCTTTTTGAAGAAATCAGTCATTTGTGTTTGCTTCTTGCTTTGGAAGCATTTTCTCTTGATCCGAGATTGCATTTTTTGTAGCATAAGTTTCTCGGCGAATTCCGCGTCGTCTTGTTCTTCCAAATAGCTCAGCAGTCCGTCGACTTGTTGCAAAGCCGCTTCGTGAGTCTTCCGCATCTGCACAGTGGGCTCTTCTTTGCCTTCATTTCGTTGTCCTTCATTCTCGGTCTTTCCCCTTGCTTTCTTCACAATTTCGTCATCTGTCAAGCGTTCGAAGCCAGGCTCGTTGACGTCCCACTCCAACCACTCGTTAATGTTTTCAGCATCGACGTTCTCACCCCCCCCGGAACTGTTATCGGCAAGAGTAGCCGTGGGCGTGTCTACATCTTCATTCTCTTCTTTACAACTCAAAGGGGTTAGGTTGTTGTTGGCTTCAACATTAGGCAGGAGTTTTCTCCATGATTTTATGAGGGTTGACGGTTTTACTGAGTCCCATGCAGATGCAATATCGTAGATGCTGTTCAAGATTGTGTAGTGTTTCCAAAACTCTTTCAGATCATAACCTTCTTCAATTTTGGTCATTAGCAGCTTGGTTTGGTATGTTCTCTTCATTGTTGCAATGACTCCTTGGTCCATGGGTTGGATTAGCGCAGTAACGTTTGGGGGAAGAAACTTTGAAAATATTTGTCCATCAGCACGCTTGTTGCTGGGTGAGAAGGTGCATTCTCGATCAATAGCACAGCTTTTTCAGGCAGGTTTTTCGATTTAAGATGTTTACGCACCTGAAGAACAAAGATTGTTTGGAACCATTCTTGAAAAATGTTCGGTTCATCCATCATTTTTTTGGTTAAAGTAATCAACGGACAAATTTTCTATCCTTGTGCCTTTGGAAGATCTCGGTTTTTTTTTACTTTCCAATAACACCAAGTCTAAGTTTATGTCCACCGGTAGCGTTACTACAACACATGATAGTGATCCTTTCCTTGCGGCTTTTATGACCCGCCGCTTTACTTTTACTTTCAGATGCTAAAGTGCGAGTGGGAAGACATTTCCACAAAAGTCCCGATTCGTCGGCATTGTAAATTTGTTCAAAAGATAGCTTCAAAGATAGCTTAAAACAAATTCTTCAAATTCATGGAGGAAATCGTCAGCTGCTTGTTGGTCACCACTAATTTTCTCCCCATGAAGTCCAATTTCTCGAATTCCATGTCGCTGCTTAAAACGAGTCAACCAGCCAGAAGACACATCAAAATTACCTTTCAGGCCTAACAACTCAAAAAAAGTTTCTGCCTTCGCCGCAAGGATAGGACCATTTACAGGAGTACTCTCTTTTCGAACTTGAGCTAACCACTCTGGCAATGCCGTGTCTAGCTCGTCAAAGGTAGAACCCTTCATAGATTTTCGCGTTTTCATTGCGGAAGCACTGTTCGACATTGATGCAAAGTTCACCAGTTTGTCTTTTTGCTTTAGAATGTCACGCACTGTTGTTTCCGCGATTCCGTAATCCAATTCCATCTGCTGCTTGTAGCGCCGTTTGCTACTTTGGAAATTAATTCTAGTTTTTGCGCAATCTTCAGCACAACCTTCTTTCGTTTTCCTGACATTTT